GCAGTGGCTCACGTCTATAATCCCAGCACTTTGGGAGGCTGAGGTGAGAGGATTGCCTGAGTCCATGGGTTCGAGAACAGCCTAGGTAACTTGGCAAGACCTCATCTCTACAATAAATCAAGAAATTAGCTGGGCATGGTGGTGTATGCCTGTAGTTCCAGCTATTTGGAAGGCTAAGGCAGAATGATCACCTGAGCCCAGCAGGTCAAGACTGCAGTAGTCATGAGTGTGCCATTGCACTCCAGCCTGGGCGACAGAGTAAGATGTCAACTCAAAAAAAAAAAAAAAAAAAGAAATATAAAATACTTAGGCATAAAAATCACAAAAAATGTGAAATGCCTCTAGGAAAACTATAAATTGGGAGACACACCTTGTTCATGGGTCAGAAAACTCTATATATTGATTTTTCCTAAATTGATCCTAGCAGGCTTTTTAGTGGAAATCAACAAGTCGATTTTAAAATTTATAAGGAATGCAATAAACCTGAATTGCCAAAACAACTCTGAAAATGAAGAACAAAGTTGGAGAGCTAACATTACTTGATTTCAAGAATTATTATAAAGTTTCAGTAATCAAAACAGCATGGTGTTAAAGACTGACAATAGACCAATGAAAGAAAAGACAATAGACCATACACATATATGGATAACTGATTTTTAACAAAGGTACAAAAGCAACACAAGTGGGAAAAAGATAGTCTTCAATAAGTGGTGTGGCCATCCACAGACAAAAAATTAAACATGGATACATACCTCATACCATAAGCAAAAATTAATCTAGTATGGATCACAGACTAAAAGTAGCACCTAGAATTATCAAACTTCTAGAAGAAGAATCTTCTGGATCAGGCAGATTTCTTAGTTATGACACCAAAACCACAATCCATAAAAGCACAAATTGATAAACTAGACTTCAATGAAGTTGAAAACGTCTACTCCTCAGAAGACACTGTTAGAAGAATGAAGAGAGAAGGCACAAAATGGGAGAAAATCTATGCAAACTATATATCTAATAAAGGTCCTATAGAATACTTTGGAAAACAATCTGGCTGTTGTTGAAAAAGTTAAATATATGCCTACCAGGTAATCCAGCTATTCCACTCCTAGATATTTGCCCAAGAGAAAAGGAAATCTATGGTCACACAAATATTTGTAGATAAATGCTCACAGCAGCTTTATTTGTATTAATCAAAACCTGAAAACAACACAAATGTCTGTTAACAGAAGATGGATAAACAAACTGCAGTACAGTTATATACTACTACTCAGAAGTAATAACAAGTGAATTATTGACACACAACATAAATGAATCTCAAAATAACTATGCTGAATAAGAGAAGCCAGACACTGAGGTAAAAGGATTGCCAGAGCCTGTGGGTTTGAGACCGGCCTGGGCAACTTGGTGAGACCTCATCTCTACAATAAAAAAAAAAAAAAAATAGCCGGACATGGTGGTATGTGCCTATAGTTCCAGCTACTTGGAAGAGTGAGGCAGAAGGATCACCCGAGGCCAGTAGGTCGAGACTGCGATGGCCATGAGTGCAGATTGAGACTCCAACGCAAAAAAAAAAAAAAAAAAGAGAGAGAGAGAAACCAGATAAAAAAATAATACAAGCTCTATGAATCCATTTATATAAAGTTCTGGAAAATATAATCTATACTGACAGAAGGAGGTCAGTAATTGCTTCAGGATAGAGGCGAGAAGAAGTGAGAGAAAACTATAAAACAAAAGGAGAAAACTTTGGGGGATGATGGATATGTCTGCTCTCTTGATCACAGTGATGGTTTTACATGTGTATGCATATGTCAAAATATATAAAATTGGCCAGGCGCAGTGGCTCAAGCCTGTAATCCCAGTACTTTGAGAGGCCAAGGGGAGAGCACTGCCTGAGCCCAGGAGTTCAAGATCAGCTTGGACAACTTGGCAAGACATCGTCTCTACAATACAAAAAAAAAATTAGCCGGGCATGGTAGTACTCACTTGTAGTTCCAGATACTTGGAAGCCTGAGCCCAGCAGGTCAAGGCTGCAGTAGCTGTAGTATGCCACTGCACTCCAGCCTGGGTGACAGAGTGAGACTCCAACTCCAAAAAAAAAAAATCTATCTATCTATCTATCTGTCTATCTCTATCTATCTATAAAATCACACACTTTAAATGCCCGTAATCTATTGCATGCTAAGTATACCTCAATAAAGGCTATTTCTTTCAAGAAAATAAACAAACAAAAGAGTATGGAATCTAGATCAGTCTGCCAGAGATCCATCTTTGCTCTGTCTCTGGCAGGTGTGTGATCTTGGGGCAGGAACTTAACTCTCTGTGCCTCACTTTCCTGAATACCAGTTCTGTGGGGAGATATTGGTGGACTGCATAAAAACACTGTGCCAGTACAATGCCAGGCATGCACCAAGCACAAATGACCAGTCAAGTTAGCTGTATGGCAGCACAGAGCACCAGGACTCTGTGCTGCTTACCATTCATATGTCCAGGTACCTCACTACACAGAAAGAAACCCTTTCTAACTCATCTGTTTCCCCAAGGTCCAGGATCAGCCTGGGATGCTCTCAGTGAGTAACAGCAGGAGTAAAAGGCTTGGCAGGAGGCACCACTTGTCTCTCAAGTGGTGTCCCCAAGCAGCCAAGGCAGACCTGGTCAGCAAGGCCTTTGTGATATTGTGAAATACATATTTGGTCTTTGTCCCTGTTTCCAGGCATAAGACTCATAAAATCCTTGGAATCTCCAAAGTGCTATCTTTTTTGTATGCTAATGTCAGCTGAGAACTTCAGAATGTGGACTGGTCACTGGAAAGACCAAGGCATGATTAGATGGCTGGGACTTCCAACTCCATCCTTCAACCTCAGGGAGGGGAGAAGTACTGAAGATCAAGTTGGTCACCGATGACCAATGGTTAAATTAATCATGCTTATAAGCCGGGCTCGGTGGCTTAGCCTGTAATCCCGCGCCTTTGGGAGGCTGAAGTGGGTGGATTGTCTGAGCCTGCGGGTTCGAGACCCGCCTGGGAGGTGAGACCTCATCTCTACAATAAAATCAAAAAATTAGCTAGGCGTGGTAGCGTGCGCCTGTAATTCTGGCTACTCGGAGGCTGAGGCGGAAGGATCGCCGAAGCCCAGCAGGTCAAGGCTGCGGCAGCTGGGAGCGGCCACTGCACTCCAGTCTGGACGACAGAGTAAGACTCCAACTAAAAAAAAAAAAAAAAAAAAAAAAAAAAAAAAATCATGCTTATTACTTAATGATACCTCCACAAAAACCCAAGAGGACAGGGTTTAGGGAGCTTCTGGATAGCTGAACACGTGGTGGTTCCTGGCATGCCCAGGGAAGGCATGGAAGTTCCTGGCTCCTTTCCCCATACCTTGCCCTATACATCTCTTCATCTTTATCCTTTGTAGTATCCTTTATAATAAGCTGGTAAATATAAGTGTTTTTCTCAGTTCTATGTGCCACTCCAGCAAACTAATTGAACCCAACACTGAGGTCATAGGAATTCCAACTTGAAGACTGTCGGTCAGAAGTTCTGGAGGCCTAGACCTGAAACTAGTGTCTGGAGGTGGGGAAAGGGGACTGAGACTCTCAACTTGTGGGATCTGAGGCTACCTTCAGGAAGATAGCACCAGAAATGAGTTGAACTAGAGCAGGAGTCCCCAAACTCCAGGCCACGAACCGGTACCAGGCTGTGGCCTGTTAGGAACTGGGCTGCACAGCAGGAGGTGAATGGCAGGGGAATGAACTTCTACCTTCTGTCAGATCAGCAGGGGCATAGACTTTCATAGAAATGAGAACCCTAGTGTGAACTGCACATGCGAAGGATTTAGTTTACATGCTCCTTATGAGAATCTAATGCTGGATGATCCCCATGTTCCCTCATCGTGTCATTCATGGAAAAACTGTCTTCCACAAAACCAGTCCCCTGATGCCAAAAAGGTTGGGGACTGCTGAATTAGAGAACACCCAGCTGGTGTCCACTGCTTGGCATGAGGGGGAAAACTTCTACACATTTGGTTTCATAAGTCTTTTGTGCTGATTGCTGTGGTGTGAGAGCAGCGGAAAAATATCATTAGAGTTTTTCCCAAATAGCCTGAGGATGGGGTGACATGGAAGTGAAGGACTGGGCACCACCTGCCAGGGAAAGACACTTGAGCTTTTTTCTGGGGTTGAAAGACTATTTTTCTTAGGGTAAGGAAAACATGAACCTATTTATAGGCTGATACAGGAGCCAGTAATAGCAAGAGAGGAGGAGAAGAAAGATAGAAAATAGAGAAGGAGAGCAAAGGCCTGGGGATGACAAGAGATTTGGTCTGGAGCTTACAGAGAAAAGCCTGCTGAAGCTGCAGCACCAGCCACAGAAGCAAAGTTGGGACAGACTTACCTTCTCTCCTGTGCTTCCAGCTCCAGCTCCCTCCAGTTCCCAGTGAGTATAGGGTCCATGGCTTATCCCCCTGCTCCAGCCTGGAGATGACATTAGGTTTGGAACCTTGAAGTCCTGCTCAAGAGAAAGGAAGATCTGCAGATTCACCCCAGGTCCAGGGTAGGATGAACCTGTGGTCTAAGTTTGTGCACTGGTTGTGACCTCCCCTGCCATCTGATCTCTAAACCTTGAAGACAGAAACAGGCCTCTCTCTGAGCTGAAGAAAAGTCAAACCCAGCTGTTAGAGAATGGGGTTTAGGGATGCATAGAAGAGTTGGGGCCTGAGCACATCATGGTGGAAGACTCATAGCAGGAAATACTGAGGTCCAGCAGAAGGGCTAAAAGGGACGCAGCATGTTCCACTAAAGGGAAGGCAGAACTCTGAAAGTGAATACATTAAAATGCCAAACATTTGATCTGCCACCAATAGGCTGTGTAAACTTAACAACATTTGCCAGCCTCAAGTTCATCTATAAACTGTATATTCTACTGACCTTCAAGATACACAGAGATTAATTCAGAAGACATGGACATACCAGGTGTGCAATAAATGATATTCTCCTTCCATACTCCTACAAAGAAATCAGGACAGGTCCCAGCACTACCTATCCCCTCCTCTATCTAGACCAGGCCTGTGTGGGAACAGGGTCAAAATGCCTGGTCTTTGAGCCTGGGGGAGAGGAGCCTCTAAATTCCAAGCTCAGCCCACAAGGTTGTTCATGGAGTAAAGAGGTCCAGGAGCTGAGCCTAGGGAAGGAACTTACCTAGTGAGACTAGGTTCCCATAGGTCTCCAGCATCACGTCTCTGTAGAGACCCCTCTGAGCAGGCCCCAGACAGTCCCACTCCTCCTCGGAAAGGAGCACAGCCACATCCTCAAAGGAAACCAAGACCTGAAATGACAAGATCTTGCTGTAGTCCCTAGGTCAAGCCTAGATTGGGATCTGGAGGGAGGAGGCACTGGACTCAGGGCTGGTAAAATCCCTTTGGGAACATGGATCTGTCTTCCCCACTACAGTGAGCTCTTCAAGACAGGCACCATATTGGTTCATTTTGGTGTTCCCCCAACCCTGTCCTCTACTGTGTCTGGTCCAGGGATTGGGGAAAAATAGTGGGAAGCACATTTCAGGGACTTAAACTCAGGAGCTAAGGACACTGGTGAAGGCAGGGAGCTGTTCACCCTTTGGGGCTAGCCCCTCATAGAGAACCGTGAGAGACTCCTGCTAAGAAAATGCAGAGACCACATGGAGGAGTCTCTATGAGGGTCACTTACCTGGAGCTCACCAGGAAGGAGCTGCTTAACAGCCATCACTAGGTCTCTGAGCTTGTCTCAAGGATATGAACAGAGCTGCAGGGAAAGGGAAGAGTGTGATGGAGCTTCAACTACCTTCTGTTCCCCACAGCTCCTCTGAGAATTCCCAGCCCAGAGCCCAAGAGGTTTTTGCAGCAGAGACCCAAATATGGGTTGCCTTAAAACCCCAGGAAGGGTGGATGAACCAAGCACCCAGCAGCCTCTGAGGCCATATCCTTCTTCCCCTTTCTTACCCTATCCCTCTGCATCTCCAGACTGAGGCCTCCCTGAATCCTCTGGTATGACAACATCCCAAGGCATCCCAATGTGAAAGCCAGGACTCTGGCAGTGCACTTGGCCAGGAGAGAACCACCTATGAGGTCCTGGGCAGAGAACAAACAGCTAAAAACAGCAAACCAGGCTCCTGATCTAAGGCTGTGAGTGAGTGAGCAGTGAAGCTGACACATATGTGTGACACAAAGATGCACCGCCTATGCCAGATGATGACAAAGGATAGAAGGAATGAAACAGCATGAGGACAGTGAGTGGTGGCAGGATTTTACCCAGGATGGTCAGGAAGACCCCTCTGATAAAGCGACATAAAATCAAAGATCTGCATGGAATGAGGGGATGTCATTCCAGGTAGAAGGAGGCACAAGTGCAAAGTTCCTTAGGCACAAGTCCACTTGATGTGTTTAGGAAGGGGAAGGGGGCCAGAGGGACTGAAGCAGAGGAGTGAAAGGTGAGAGACCAGAATAGGTACTTTGTAGGCCTTAGGGTTATGGCTTTTATTCTGAATGAGATGGAAAACATCTGGAAGGTCTGGACAGTGATATGACCTGAAAAGCAGCCTCTCCAGCTGCTGTTTTGAGAACAGCCTGGGTAGGGGAGGGAGGGGCAGGAGTGGAAACAGGAAACCAGTTGGAAGGGTCTAGCAATAACCCAGTCAGAGATGACTGTCTTACACCAGACTGCTGGTAACAGAGGTGATGAGAAGTGGTCAGATTCTGAATGCATTTCAAATGTATAGTCAATAGGATTTGCTGATACATGTAGCATATGACACCAAGATTTTTGGCCTGAGCAACTGAAATAACATTTCCATTAACTCAGTCTTCTGAGTTAAAAATTGAAGGTTAAAAATTGGTTTTGTACATGTTATGTTTAAGATTCCTATTAGACTTACAAGTGGAAAATTAAGGCATTTGGATACACAAGTCTAAAATTCAGGTGAGAGGCTAGGGCTAGCTGGGTATATATTGAGAATTGTCAGTACACAGACATCTAAAACCATGGATCTGGTTTTATTTTAGTGCAGACAAGTAGCCGGCACAAGATGTGATTCCTAGAAAAACCTCAATTGGCCTCTGCATACCCAGCCAGTTACCTCCCTACAGCCCCCTCCCTTGTTTAGTTCAGGAAAAAAAATGTGCTCTTTTTATTCCCTAGGCCCTAGGGGACAACACTCAGTTCTAGTTAATGAGATGTCAAGGGAAGTTTGCTAAGAGGCTTCTAGGAAGTACTTTTCCTCCGCAATGAAAAAAAGGAAACATCTCTGTCTCAAGTGACCACAAGCAAAAGTCAAGAAAACCTTGGAGGCACATCCCAGAGCCCTGACACTCCTGAACATACTCTGGAACAAACCCTGTCTGCCCCACCTTCATCATTTAAGCCTCTGTTTAGGCCAGGCACAGTGGCTCATGCCTGTAATCCCAGCACTTTGGGAGGCAGAGGTGAGAGGATTACCCTAGCCCACAGGTTTGAGACCAGCCTGGACAACATGGTCAGACCTCATCTCTACACTAAATCAAAAAATTTGCTGGGTGTGGTGGAGCACGCCTGTAGTTCCAGTTACTCAGCCATTGAACCCAAGCTTACTGATGCAGAATCTGCCCAATTCATTGCTCCTGAGTCTTCACAGAGTCTTCAGCTGAGGCACATCTAGGTTCAGAGACAGCTTCCCAGTCCTCAGACATAGCTCGCCTCTGGCTGATCCCCTGCTGCTCATGCACTTTGTGTCTACCAAGTGGTCCTTCTTATTGTACTCTGCCTTCACTCCCACTCATTAGGGAGGCATGCAACACCACTGCTCAGAGCAGGAGCTCTGGACTCCAACAGGGCTGAGCTCCAAACTCCACCACCTACTAATGCAGAAGCCTGTGCCTTAAAGGAAGGCACAAACCGACCTTTTCCTTTAAGGTAAGTGATCTCCAGACCATAAAACTCAGGTTTTATAGTCTGAGTTTCTTCAGACCATAAAATGAGCTTAACCTTACCCCTTCCCTTAAGTGACTATTCTGAGAGTTAAATGAGAATATGCACAAAGTGCTCAGCAGTGCTTACAAACAGCAAACAAAAAATACGAAGTCTTTACAATTTAATCATTAAGTTAATGCTTACCGAGTACCGGCTGAATGAACGAGTGGATGTTGGGGTTGTTCTAGCGGATGTGAGGGATGTCATTTCCCGCCCGTTCCCTTCCCTTCCCCAGCAACTGAGGCCCCTTCACCGCACGGTTCTTTAACAGTTTTACCCTTTCACTTAATCAATTCCTGCCGAAAAGTGAAATGTACTCTCTCTCTTCTGAAAAAAGCACTATTGGGCTCACGGCCCTGACTATGCCCAAGCTGCCTTCCTCTGTGAGGCCTTTGTATCCATCCGGCTGCCCCAGCTCAGTGCAGCCCGCAACGTAGACACCATCAGGGACCTGCACGTCTCGCGTCTCCTCACACGCTCTCGCCCGGCCGCCCCTCAACCAACACGAAGTGGCCGCTCAACGCTCCGCGGGTGCCCTCGGCTCGTCCTCCCGGGGTCACCGAGGCCGCGGGGCGCGTCCTCCGGCCACTCCGAGCCCCGGCACCGTCCCCGCCCGTCCTAGCATCTCCGTGCCAGGCACCGCGGCCTGGGACTCACTCAGCTCGGCCACCGGAGGGAAAGGAATACGAACGCCAGATCCCGGACCGCGGAGGGCGGACCCGAAACTCTTACCCAAACTTCCGCCCAGCGCTCCAGCTCGCGGCCAATCGTGCCCCAGAGTTCAGTCCGTCCGCTCTAGGCGGCTCAGCGCACTCTATGCTCCCACAGCCCTGTTCTTCCGAGCGTCAGTACCAGCTCTCTGGCGGGAGCTGCGAGCCCGGGCGCGACGTTCCGCCCACGGGGTGCGGGTGGAGAGGGAGGCAGGAACCCCAACGAGGAGGCCACGGACGCGCCGGGCGCGGAGAGGTGTGTGCGTGTGGGGTGCTCTGGGCCCCGCCCTCCTCCTCTCCCGCCCCTTTTCCTCAGCGCCAGGTTGCAGTCAAGCTCAGAATTCAGCTACGGTATACCGAACACTGACCTAAACGCTTTTCACTTAGTAAGTCAGTTTAATCCTCAACGGACCCACGAAAGGGCTTGTGTCACCATTATCAACGAGGAAGCTGATGCCGGGTGGGGTACGGCGCAAAACTCGTGGATTCTTTAGCTTGTTTCTAAAATGAACTTTAGCGCGGCCTACAAAGCTTTCAAAGTTTATTTAGAAAGTAAATTAGAGAGAGAAAACTCACCTTCCCAAAGTAGGGGAAGGGGCCAAAGCTAAGAAAACAGCCCAACCGGCGCTTAACAAAACAATGGCTACTGCTGTTTGACGTTAATGCCTTTTAAACCTTCCCTTTGATGGCGGCAGGTCGTTAAGGTGATTTGGTGGTGGTCTGTTTTTACGTCATCAGGAAGGGACAGGTAAGCAGGTACTGACGTCAGGTGATGGACAGCAGTCAGATGGGTGGGTTAGTCACATGACTGTTGCCATATTGGTGGGGTGTGAGTCCTGAAGGACTGATTAGGTTAACTTGTTTACAAAACAGGTTGGGAAGGGGGTGGGGTAGCCTCCCTGCTTATCCTGCAGTAAAATGTAATTTTAAAAATGTCTGAGCCGGGCTCGGTGGCTCAGCCTGTAATCCCAGCACTTTGGGAGGCTGAGGTGAGGGGATTGCCTGAGCCCGCGGATTCGAGACCCGCCTGGACAGCGAGACCTCATCTCTACAATAAATCAAAAATTAGCCGGGCGTGGTAGCGCGCGCCTGTAGTTCCAGCTCCTTGGAAGGCTGACACGGAAGGATCGCTGGAGCCCAGCAGGCGAGGCTGCGGTGGGGCCGGGAGCGGCCACGGCACTCCAGTCTGGGTGACAGAGTGAGACTCCAACTCAAAAAAAAACACAAAAAAACAAAAATGTCTGAACGCTTCCTAAAAACCTACCTGTGAGAAATTTGTCTGTGTCTAACCTCTGCTAGCTACCCTGCCTCAATGAACACTTCCTAAAACCTGCCTATGGAAAACTTATCCAACTATGTCTAATCTGTGCTAGCTGTCCTGCCTCAGAAGCCAAGAGTACAAAGAGGTTCCAGACCCGTTCTAGTGGAGCTGGAATCCAAAAACCAACTGCTTAGTGCTGAGATGCATGTGCAGAATGGCGCTTGCCTGTAGGGCAGTGTGTGGAAGAGCCAGAAGTAAAGTGGAGTGAGGGGAGAGGTCAGGTGAGACCCAGGCAAGCAAGGAATATGGGCCAGATGAAGGCTGGCCCACTAAGAAAACAGTAGGATCAGGAGACAAGACAATTGAGATAGGGAATCAAAAGAATGGAAAGGAAAGGGGCATCCAATCTTCAGCTGGACAGTGGAAACATAAGATTTCAGAGGGAGCATAGTATGAATGAGGATTGTAGGGTAAATACTGATTTTTTCTTGTGAGATGGGTTATTGCTATGTTGTACAGTCTGTTTTGGAATGTCTGGTCTCAAGGTGATGATGGGTGGGGTGTGGCACAAAACTGGAGGATTCTTGGGCTCAGTTGTAAAATGAATTTTAGAGTGGACAGCAAAGTTTTAAAACAAAGTTTATTAGAGAAGAGAGAAAGCTAGAAGAGACATGCCAGAATTGCCATGCCACCGCGCTTTCTGGTTTTTACAATAGTCCAGATACACCTTCAGAATGATTGAGATGCTAAAGAGGGCAGAGCCCAGGTAACCATCACTGCAGAGAGATTGACTTCTCTCTGCCTCTGATGGGTGTAGGGTTGGTCTTATTATCATTTCTATGGCCTTTTGATTCATGGTCTAGGAACCACCTTGATGGAGTTTTCCTTTGTCCAGCTGAGGGAGTGGGGTGGACTGAGAGTCCACATTGAATCCACATTCAGCCCGCAGGGCCATTCAGTCTGCTGATGTTATGTCTGAATGCTTTCTAAAACCGGCCTACAATAAATTTATTTATTTATGCCTAACCTGTACTAGCTACCCTGCCTCAAAGGGATTCTCCTGCCTCAGCCTCCCCATTTGCTGGGACTACAGGTTTGTGCCACCACACCCTGCTAAGTTTTTTTTAAAAGTTGATTTTTCCCTGGTGACCAAGAAAAGAGATACTACTTTCTTTCCCTTTTCTTAGATCATTTCCTTTAGGAATGTAATAGGACAATCTTTTTCTGCCCCTTTGAGATGTTTGTAAACTTTAAAAACAACCCTGGAATGTTTTCCTTAAGGACCTTGTATATTCCTGTCCCTGTGGGAGTTTAACCCAGGTGCCTGACTCTAAGTTGTAATTACCTGCTTGTCACAGAGCTATGAGGTTTATTTTAACTTCGGATAAAGGAAATTAGCTAACAGATGGCCACACCGGTTAGGTACCTGCCTTCTATTGCAGAAATTTGCAGTCAATAGGACTGACTCATGTGAAGAACCAGAGATGTTCCATGTATACTCCATGGATGCCTGACCTACTCTGGCCCATTTGACACAAACCTGCTGAAGCAGGAGATAGGATGGAGTGAGGGAGGTGAATCTCACAGACAAGAAGCCAGAGGAACAAGATAGAAGCCATAAAACTGCAATGTTAATCAACCTTCAAGGACGCAACATAAGCAACATTCCCTCCTGAAACTGAAATATTAATCAACCTCCCAGGACATGACACAAGCAACATCCTGTCCTAAAATAAGAAAGCCGTGAAACTCAACGAGGAAATACCCCAGGTGTGGTACATGTACACATGTGAACTCCCCATGACCTATCCATGCAAAAGAGCTAGTTAAGGCTAATGCATATGGACTGCATCTCATACATACAATTAAAATTCTGGGCAGAGACATGCACAGTAATCTGAAATGTTACCCCTTCCCCAGGAAGTACATTTAACCCCAGAAACATTAGTCAAAATGTTTTCTTTTTGCATGCTTTGCAAAATAGAGTCCACTTTCCTACTGAAAAGAATATAAAAGGTGCTGACTGGCCAAGTTCAGTGGCTCAGTCAATAATCCCAGCACTTTGGGAGGTTGAGGCATGTGGATTGCCTGAGCCAGAGGGTTCAAGATCAGCCCAAGCAACTTGGCAAGACCTCATCTCTAAAATAAATCAAAAGTTAGCCAGGCATGGTAGCATGTACCTGTAGTTCTGGCTATTTGGAAGGGTGAGGCTGTTGCTGGAGCCCAGCAAGTCGATATTGGGGTGGTGGTGAGTGTGCCACTGCACTCCAGCCTGGGTGATGGAGTGAGACTCCAATTAATAATTAAAAAAAAAAAAATTCCCAGCTTTAACTCGAGGCTCTGGAGGTGCTCTCCAGCTCAACCTGTTCCATTCTTTGGAGTGTACTATCCCTGTCTCTTTTGCTAAATAAACTATTCTTTGCTTTTACTCTGTGTGTCTCATCCAGTTTTTTGTTCGAGGCATGAAGAACCTGGTCACCACCAACAAGTCTTCAGTCACCCTACAACACTGCCTTTGTCTTTAAGGACAATGGGGTCTGCTCAGAAAGTGGCCTTTACAATACCTATCCCTTGCCCTGTTCACTTCTGTTTCTTTCTGCTTTCATATTCTCTTGATCCCAGACTCATGGGGCATTTATTTGCTCATCTGTGCCTTAGGAATATTTTGGGTAGGCAGCTTTGAGAAATGTTGTTGTAGGGTCTGGGAAGTCCTTAAAGGATTTAGGAAGGGAGGCAAAATCAGATGAATGTTTCAGAATAGTGTTTACTATGTTCTAGCTGAAACTAGTACAGAACAACTTATCCTCTGGTCACATCACACAGCAGTTATGTCCTGAGGAACTGTACTCTCTAAGGTCTAGTCGATCTTGTGGTTTAAATGGCCTTTGGCAAATTATCTGTATTACATTTGTTTACCACATTCACTAGGTTACTCTTCCATGGTGAAGGGGGTGGGGCTGTGATTGAGTCAGAGTCTTACTCTATCACCCAGGCTGGAGCACAGTGGCATGCTCACGGCCACTGCAGCCTTGACCTGCTGGGCTCAGGCGATCCTTCTGCCTCAGCCTTCCAAGTAGCAGGAACTACAGGTGTGCTCCACCACAGCTAGCTAATTTTTTGGTTTATTGTAGAGAGGAGGTCTCACCAGGTTGCCCAGGTTGGTCTCAAACCCATGAGCTCAGGCAATTCTCTC